TGGAAATTAAACACCACACTCTTAAACCACAAATGGATCAAAGAAGAACTCACAAGGGAGGTTATAAAATACTTAGAGATGAATGAAAATGAAAGCACAACATACCAGGACTTCCCTGGTGGTCCAGTGGCTAAGACTTGGTGCTCCCAATGCTGGGGACCCGGGTTTGATCCCTGGTCAGGGAATTAGATCCCACATGCCATAGCTAAGAGTTTGCATGCTACAAGTAAAAGATCCCCCATGCCACAACCAAGACCCACTGCAGACAAATAAATAAATAAATTTTTTGAGCTTTTTTTTATTTTTTAAAAATTATTATTATTATTTTTTTTGCGGTATGCGGGCCTCTCACTGTTGTGGCCTCTCCTATTGCGGAGCACAGGCTCCAGACGTGCAGGCCCAGCAACCATGGCTCACAGGCCCAGCCGCTCCGTGGCATGTGGGATCCTCCCGGACTGGGGCACGAACCTGCATCCCCTGCATCGGCAGGCGGACTCTTAACCACTGCACCACCAGGGAAGCCCCTAATTTATTTTTTTATACAGCACGTTCTTATTAGTTATCTATTTTATACATATTTGTGTATATATGTCAATCCCAATCTCTCAATTCATCCCACCACCACCCCCCATAATAAATAAATATTTAAAACAAACAAACAAACAAAAAACACCATATACCAAAGCTCAAAGGATGCAGCAAAAGCAACGCTAAGGGGGAAATTTATAGCTAAAAATACAGTAAAAAACAAAAAAGATCCTAAGTCAACAACCTAACTTAAAAACTTAAAGAACTAAGAAAAGAAGAACACACTAAATCCAAAGCTAGCAGAAGGAAGGAAATAATAACAATTAGAACATAGATAAATGAAAGAGAGACTAGAAAAACAATAGAGAAAATCAGTGCAGCCAAAAGCTGGTTCTTTGAAAAGATCAACAAAATTGAGAAACCTTTAGCTAGACTGACCAAGAAAAAAAGAGAAGATTCAAATTATTAAAATTAGAAATGGAAGTGGGTACATTACTACTGATTCTACAGAGATAAGAAGGATTATAATACGCTACTATGAACAACTGTATGTTAACAAATTGGATAGCCTAGAAGAAATGGATAAATTCCTAGAAGCCTAAAACCGATAACACTAAATCATGAAGAAATAGAAAATCTGTATAGACCTAGTAAGGATGGGTCATTAAAAATGTTTTTAGGAACCTCCATACTATTTTTCACAGTGGCTTTCCCATTTTATATTCCCACCAACAGTACATAAGCATTCCAATTTCTCCACATACTTGCCAACATTTGTTGTTTACTGTTTTTTTTTGATAGCAGCCATCCTAATGTGCAAGAAATGAAAACTTATGTTCTCACAAAAACCTGTACCAAAACCTGCAACCAACCCAGATATACTTGAGCTGCTGAATGGTTAAACAAACTGCTGTACATCTATACCATGAACTATTACTCAACAAAAAGAAGGAACAAATTATCGATACGTGCAACAACCTGGGTGAATCTTGAGGAATAATGCTGAGTGAAAAATGTCTATCCCAAAAGCTTACATACTACATGGTTCCATTTATATAACAATCTTGAAATGTCAAAATTATAGAAATGGAGAACAGATTAGTGGTTGCCATGCGTTAAAGAGGAGGGGGAGGAAGGGAAGTAGGTGTAGCTATAAAAAGACAAACAGGAGTGATCCTTGTGGTAATGTAAATGTTCTGCATTTTTATTGTATCCATGTCAATACCCTGGTTGTGATATTATACTATAGTTCTGCAAAATGTTACCAGTGGGAGAAACTAGGTAAAAGGTATAAATATCTCATTGTTATTTCCAAAAATGTATGGGAATCTACAATTATCTCAAAATAAAAAGTTTAATTAAAAAACCATAATTATAGCAATAAACAATCCAAAAAGGAAATTAAGAAAACAATTACACTTACGATAGCATCCAAAAGAATAAAATACCTAGGAATAAATGTAACCAAGGAGGTAAAAGACTTGTGCTTTGGGACTTCTCTGGTGGTGCATTGATAAGACTCCACGCTCCCAATGCAGGAGGCCCAGCTTCAATCCCTGGTCAGGGAACTAGATCCCACATGCGTACCACAACTAAGAGTTCACATGCCACAACTAAGGATCCTGCATGCTGTAACTGACACCCAGCGCAACCAAATAAATAAATAAATATTTTTTAAAAAAGACTTGTGCATTGAAAACTACAAAACATTACTGAGATAAATTAAAGAAGACCTACATAAATAAAAAGAGTTCCTATGTTCATGGGTTAGAAGACTTAATATTAAATTAAGATAGCAATTCCCCCAAAACTGATCTACAAATTAAATGCAATCCCTATCAAAATTATAATGGTCTTTTTGCAGAAATGTAAAAGGTGATTCTCAAATTCATATGGAGCTATAAGGGACCATGGATGGCCAAAACAATATTGAAAAAGAAATACAAAATAGGAGGACTCACACTTCCCTATTTTGAAACTTACTACAAAGTTACAGTAATCAAAACAATGTGGTACTGGCATAGGATAGACTCATACACCAATGGGAATAGAACTGAGAGTCTAGAAATAAACCTAAACATCTATTACCAATTGATTTTCAACAAGGGTGCCAAGACCACCCAGTGTGGAAAGAACAGTGTCTTCAACAAATGATTCCTGGACAACTGGATAAGCACATGCAAAAGAATAGGGCTGAACCCTAACCTTACTCCATATACAAAAATTAACTCATAGAGACTTCCCTGGTGGTCCAGTGGTTAAGACTCCATGCTCCCAATGCAGGGGGCCCGGGTTCGATCCCTGGTCAGGGAACTAGATCCTGCATGCCACAACTAAAAGATCTCACATGCCGCAATGAAGATCTTGCATGCAGCAACAAAGATCCCATGTGCCACAACTAAGACCCGGTGCAGCCAAATAAATAAATATTCTTTAAAATTAAAAAAAATTAACTCGTAATGAATCAATAACTGAAATATAAGAGCCAAAATTATAAAACTCTTAGATGAAAACATAGGGGTAGATCTTCATGACATTGGACTTGGCAATGGGTTCTTAATTTGATACCAAAAGCACAAGTAACAAGAGAAAAAAATAGATAAATTCACCAAAAATTAAAACTTTTGTGCATCGAAGGATATTCTCAAGAATGTGAAAGATGACCTACAGAATGGGCAACATATTTGCAAGTCCCATATCTGATAAGGATATCCAGAATATATAAAGAACTCTTACAACTCAAACAATGAAAAGACAAACTACCCAAGTTAAAAATGGGCAAGGACTGGAATAGATATATCTCCAAAGAAGATATGCAAATGGCCAACAAGCACATGAAAAGATGTTCAACATCATTTATCATCAAGGAAATGCAAATTAAAATTATAATGAGATATCTCCTCACAATCACTAGGATGGCTTTAATATAAACAACAAGCAAAATAAAGTTAAATAACAAGCATTGGCAAGGATGTGGAGAAATAGGAACTTGTACATTGCTGGTGAGAATACAAAATAGTGCAGTTGCTGTGGAAAATAGTTTGGTGGTTCCTCAAAAAACTTAAACATTAAATTACCATATGACCCAATAATTCCAAATGTAGGTATATACCCAAGAGAAATGAAAACTTATGTCCACCTGGAAACCTATATACAAATGTTTGTAGGAGCTATTATTCATAATGACCAAAAGGTGGAAACAAGCCAAATGTTCATCATTGGATGAATGGATTACAAACTATGATACATGCAATGGAATATTAGTCAGCCACAAAAAATGAATAAAGTACTGATAATGCTACAGCTTGGATGAACCTTGAAAACATTATGCTAAGTGAGATAAGCCAAACACAAAGGTCACATGTCGCTTGACTCCTTTTATGTGATATACACAGAATAGGCAAAGCAGATTAGAGGAAACCAAGAGATGTGGGGAGGGGACTATGGGGAATGATTACTTAGTGGGTATGGGGTATTCTTATGGAGTGATGAAAAAGTTTTGTTTTGTTTTTTTGGCCTCGCCATGCAGCATGCGGGATCTTAGTTCCCCGACCAGGGATCAAACCTGCGTCCCCTGCAGTGGAAGCGTGGTCTTAACCAGTGGACTGCCAGGGAAGTCCTGAAAAACTTTTGAAACTAGAGAGAGCTGACAGTTGCACAACACTATGAATACGCTAAATACCACTGAATTGTACATTTAAAAATGGTTAATTGTACGTTATGTGAATTTCAACTCAAAAACATTTTTATAAAACTTTAGCAACACTTACTTTTAGATCTTGAATATTGGATTTTAGTAACCGTTAAAAACTAAGGTAACTATTAAGACTATAGATAACTATCCTTCAGTTGTATACAAAACTAAATAAGCCGATGGACATGTATGTCATGCTCCAAGGAGAACCCAAGAAACAGGCTGCATTTGGGGGTCTGTTGGTAACCTGTTAGGAGACTTTTTGTGGTCCACCAACAGACTGTGGACCATAGTTGAGAATCACTGATCTATGTCTCCTGGTAACATGACTCAGCAGCTATGGACAGGTACGACTGTTAAAGGAAAATGTACAGGGCATAAAGCCGAGGACTGGAGTCCTCAGTGAAGTTGAAGGGCATGGCACAAGCATGATGGCTATGCTTGTGTGAAAGGGGAAGGGGGAAGTTGGCAAGAGCACATGTTTCTGCTCAGGCTGTAAGCAGGAAGCGGCTGTTCCCACTGAGGGGAGTTGCCCAGGTATGCTCCATATTTGTACATTATAGTTAAAAGTAAACCTGAAATGGGAGCCTGGTCATTTACTGACTTGCCACTGAGTTTTAGTCTGGAAATGAAGTCATGGACTCAACCATTTTCCAGCCCCCCAAACCTCTCCTGCTTCTTCTGCAGCAGAATTGGAGGCAAGGTAGCAGTGAATTGATCTTTGAGCCCCTGGCATACCTTTCCACCTCCCAGGAAGAACCTCCATGCCATATCTTACCTGGACAAGGTGTCTGTTGGGTACACATCATGCCCCCTGGTGCAGTAATTATATAGAGTCCTGAAGTGCCAAACCAGTAATTTACACTTCCAAGTGGAATTCCTCTGGCAGCTGAGAAGACAAGTTTGGCAAAATAGAGACTCTTTAATTCTTTTAAGTCAGATGTACAGCAGCTAGCAACCAAATAATTAACAGAGTATTAACCTTCACCTTACATGTATGTCCAACAATGTTCCCAGGATACAAGATTAAAAATATACATTGCCCTTGTCCTCAACTGTATGCTTCTTCAAGGCAGTGATCGTGTATATTTGCCTGTGCTTATTGAAGGCCTAGCAAAACACCCACCATGATAGGTATTCAGAAAAAATTTCCAAGTGAGAATTCTATCAAGTTGGCAAGATAAGTCCATTAAAGGCCAATGTAATGGCAGTACTAAAGAAAGCACTTCTGTTTGTCTCCCTCTGCCTCTCTCTTAAAAGGACACTTTTGATGGTATTTGGAGTCCACTTGAATAATCCAGAGTAATCCCCTCATCTCAAGATCCTTAATTATACCTGAGAAGGCTTTTTTTTTTTTTTACCAACAAGGTAACATTCACAGATTCTGAGGATTAGGACACAGATTGTATCTTTGGGAGCCATTATCAGCCTGCCACACTAATTTCTGGCCTATGGCATATGACCAGAAGTAATGTACACCGCTTCCAGGCCTGACCCATGAAAACTTCCCAGGTGAGATCTTTACTCTCTTCCCCTCTCTGATCGCTACCCAAAGAGGTCTTGGAAGCCATGTGTTAACGATGACAGAGACTCTGTTACCCTGGGTCCCTGAAGGGCTATGTGGAACAGAGCCCCCTTTCACCCCTGCTGATTGGCCTTTATATAAGCAGTAATATCCATTTTCTTAAGCCATTGATAATTTGGGGTTTATCTGTTTCAATAGCTAGCATTATCTTAACTAATTCACTCTGAATCTAAAGTTGTCATCCTTCCCTGTTACCCTCCCTTTCAATATTCCATTAGTATCCCCTTTCAGAATAAGTCATTATTTTATTCACTTACATGTTTGCTTATTTCTTATATGACTCTCACTAGACTGTAAGTTTAACAAAAGCAGGGATTATGTACTTATGTCTCATTCACTGTTGTGTTCCCAATTGTTGCTCCTAGTGTTTAGCACACAATAGGTACTCAATACATGTTTGCTAAAAACTTAAATCGAAGAGGCCTGACAAAGCAAGTCTGCTGAGGGGAAAGGAATCTTTCCTGGTCATATAATCAGCTCATGGTGCATCATGGGTGTTTAATTAATTCCAAAGGCCTCAAGGAAGCCCATTCACAAGACCTGACTCTTGCCAGGGGAGTAGGCATAGGTTTCCACATCTAAACCATGACATAATCAGACCCAGAGCAGTTTCAGACATCGGGCCAAGTTCATATAAGTTGCCTAAATCCTTTCCAAGTGGCTGTGCAATGGCTGAGACACTGACCTTCCTTTGCAGGCCAAGAAGCAGAACTTAATGAGAGCACAAAGAGAATCCCCTGAAGTTGCCTGACCCTTATCTCATAATCCTAAAAATAAGCCCCCTCAGTACTGTGAGGCCAAAAATAAGAGTGAATTCAAGACCCAGAATGCAAGTGTCCCGAGTTCCCCAGACATCGGTAGCAAAGGGGAACTGGATTTCCAAGTGTCCCCTGACCCGGATTCTTCATAGCTACACTCCCTCTGTCTGTAGGACACTCTGTTATCCAATGTCAGGCTTCCAGATGCTGTCTGCCCTCTGGACCATGAAGAGCTGCCAGTTGAGTACAGCTTGTGAACTCCTTGGTCTTTATATATTTGTACTGTTATTTTTAACAGTAACTGCAACAAATTTTCTTACTCCTCAATTTTCTCTAATATGGTTCTTCATCACCTTTCTTCTCCAGCAGTTCACTGAAATCTCTTGATAATTCTGCCAAAAACCTCAAATTTCCTCATGCAATGCACATTTTTCAGCCTTCATCTCTCCAGCAGCTGACAGATGACTACCCAGTAATGCTTGAAACTTTCTCCTCCCTTGACTTCCAGGATAATGAACTCACTTGATTCTTCTCTCACCTCTCAATCAGCCCCTTCTCAATCTCCATTGAAGGTCACCCCTCCCTACCTATCCTTTAAATGTTGAGGACCCTTGGCATACCATCCTTAATTCACTGAATGAGCCCATCATTCACATGGCTTCAGAGATGACCTGTGTGCTGAGGATTTCCAAATCAGTGTCTTGATACAGTGCATCTTTGGAGCTCCAAGCTGCATGTCCACTGCCTCTAGCAGCTTGTGTACCTCACACTTAATATGGTGCAGGGGTTAAGAGTGTAGGCTCAAAAGGACACAACATCATTTATACAGTATTCCTGCCAAAATACGTGACCTGAATATAATCATGAGGAAACAGACAAACACAAATTAAGGGATATTCTATGAAACAATAAGGCTGTATTCTTTTTAAAATGTCAGGGTCATGAAAGACAAAAAGAAAGGCTGAGCGCAGACTAAAGGAGACCAAAGAAATAGGACAACTGAATTCAATATGTGATCTGGGATTAGATCCTGGATTGGAAAAAAATAAATGCTATTAGAATTAGGAATAGTAATGCTCAATCATTTGAATTTGAATAATCAATAGTATTGTTTCAATGTTAAATTTTCTGATTTGATAAGCACACTGAGGTTAGATGAGAGAATGCCCTTGTTCTTAGGAGATACACACTCAAATATTTAGAAATGAAGGAAATGATCTTTGTGACTTACTCCCAAATAGTTCAAACAAAAGCAGGAAAAAAAAAAAGAATAACATAAAGCAAACGTGGGGACTTCTCTGCTGGCGCAGTGGTTAAGAATCCGCCTGCCAACACAGGGGACACGGGTTCGAGCCCTGGTCTGGGAAGATCCCACATGCCGCAGAGCAACTAAGCCCACGCGCCACAACTACTGAGCCCGCGCGCCTAGAGCCCGTGTTCTGCAACAAGAGAAGCCACCGCAATGAGAAGCCCATGCACCACAATGAAGTGTAGTCCCCACTCACCGCAACTAGAGAAAGCCTGCGTGCAGCAACGAAGACCCAACACAGCCAAAAGTAAATAAATAAATAAATTTATTAAAAAAAAAAAAACAAACAAATGGGGGAAAATGTTAATAATGGGTTAATCTAGATGAAGGTCCATGTGAGTTCATTGTAATATTCTTAAAACTTTCTATAGATCTGATTTTTTTTCAAAATGAAAAGTTTAAAGAGAGAGAAAGTATGTTTAAGGTTCAAATTCCAGCTCCACCACTTGCTAACTGTATAGCCTTGAGAAATTATATAACCATCACTGACTCAGTTTCCCCAGCTATACATTGGGGATAATGATAGAACCTACATCATAAGTTTTTGTGAGGACTAAATAAATTAACACATGTAAAGGCCTTGGAACACTGCCCAGTATATGATAAGCATTCAATAAATGTTAGCTAGTATTAATTACTATGTCTATAGTTGAACTCAATTCCTCTCCAATTTAGACAATCGCTTATACTCATTTTTTTTTTTTTTTGGCCATGTGGCTAGCGGGATCTTAGTTCCCTGACTAGGGATGGAACCTGGACCGATCCCCAACCACTGAAAGCATCGAGTCCTAACCACTGGACTGCCAGGGAATTCCCTAGACTATCTCTTATACACTTGACTATGGTCTATAGCATCATGATCCAGTCAGTCTTCTAAGGTAGAAAATTCACTACATTCGTCTGTGTGTCCCCAGAACTTTGCCCATGCCTCTATTACAGCACATGCCATAAGATAGGATAATGTATTTGCATATGTCTATCTCTACTGGACTGTGTTTGTCTCAACTAGACTGGAGTTGGGGGTGGAGAAGGCAAGGGAGAAAGGGGAAGAGCATTCCAGACAGAGCAAATAGCATGAAGGCTCAGAGATGGGAGAGCAAGGCACAAAGAAACCCAGCTGGATCGGAGTACAAAAGGTGAGAGGATGAGGGATATAAAGTGAGGCTAGATTGAATTAAAATATAACATAAAAAGATTATTCGTATCCTCTGGTACATCCATTAGATCAGTGCTACAGGGCTTGATGGTACCTCTTCCCATGCTCTAGTCCCATGGACGATGGGAATTAAACCTAAGAGAAGCAAAGGCAAAGTCAGAAAGGAGAGAAGACAAAAAGCCACGCGAGAGGAAGAAGAGCCAAGGCCACGCTACTGAAAACGACTACTCAGTGATACACGAGACCGGCGCTTAAATGGACAAAAGACTGTCAGGTATAATTAGCTGTTCAAGTGTCTGACGGTAAGCTCCCATTAGATTGCAAACTCCTTCAGGACAGGGAGGGACTAAATCTTGTGTTCCTAGCACGTAGTATGTTACTTGGCACGTAGTCAGTAGGCTCAGGAAATGCCTGCTGAATACATGTGCAAATATCAACCGCCCGACCACAGAGGCCAGAAGTCTTCACTAGCTAACAGTCTTACTTCAATTACACAGGCCCCCAAACCCCAAAGCGCTTGATAACTTTATCAGCATCGCTCACCAGCAGAGGCAGCTTTCATCATCAGCTGGGCAAATTCAATGGCACCTCCTTTTCTGAAGGATAATTTAAAAATAGCCTGTCCTTCCCAGCCACCTGGAGGAAGAAATGGCACACACTCACTAAGAGGCTGGCATGCTGTAACAGAAGGACTGCCACAAACACTAAGAGAAGCACTACCCAATGAAGCAGGGGCCCAGGCCGAATCTTAAACCTTCTGGAAGCTTTTGAGAAAAAATACACTTCTGAGGGGGGACACTTACCATCCGGAGCTGCCTGAATGGTTCCTTTAATGTAGTTGGGGGCAAAGATTCGTTGTTGAATGGTGCAATTACTCATCAGACCAAATGGCATCATAAAAGAAAGCATGGGGTCATTGACTAAGTGTGAAGTCACGAAGATCACCTAAGAGAGAAAAGAAACTTTGGGAAAGGAATGCAATTGATCCATGGATTGAGACATATAAGAGCAATTCTGAAGTTAAGGCTGCTTTGGGATTCTGGCCTAATTGAGAAGCATGACCAATTTTCTTCCATCACACTTCAACATGGAAAATCTCAAAGGAGAAATGGTTTAAAATACTTTGAAAGTCAATGTTTAACCTCTCTCCATTTTAAGGAAAAATGTAGAGTTAATCAGATCAAAGTAGAAATAGAAATTACCCGGTATGAAGTGAGAAACAATGTTCCTCTTTTTGTACCATTAAAGAGATCAGATCCCACTGGTTGCTGTAGGAAGGAGAGGTCCACATCCTGACTCTGCTTCAAGACACTGCAGAAAAGACAGGGCAGACAGCACACAATTTAGAATCTATATAAAATTATACAAACAGAGCTCATAGCATAGTTTCTAGCCTGGAGGGAGATTTTAATAAAAGTTACTTGTTGCTGCTACTGCTACTACTATTTTATTAAAATAGAAAGGAATTTAAATGATCTTATTCTCTGACAATTCACACTTCTTCTTCTTCTGTATCATTGGGTTCTTTTTTAAAAAAAAAATTGGTTCCCCCACTCTTTTATTAATTAATTAATCAATTTATTATTTTTGGCTGCGTTGGGTCTTAGTTGTGGGCACTCGTTATCTTTCATTGTGGCTCACAGGCTCTTCACTGCGGCACGAGGGCTCTCTAGTTGAGGCTCATGGACTCAGTTGCCCCACAGCATGTGGGATCTTAGTTCCTCGACCAGGGATTGAACCCACTTTCACCTTCATTGGAAGGTGGATTCTTTACCACTGGACCACTAGGGAAGTCCCATCGGGTTCTTCTTTCTTATCAAACCTAATTCTATTCTTAATGTATATTCATTAATTCTTCTACTTCTTGTGCAGTTGGTATAAAGCACTCTGTTAACGGAAATGTTTCTTGGACTCTGGTAAAGAACATAAGGCACACACAGAGTGCTCCCGAACCCTCTGACACGCTCCCTCTGTCTGTCATGTTCTCCCTGCACTCCTAACCTGAAAAACTTGGGCTCATCCTATTCTTACTCATAGAATCCTACTGGGTTTTTTCCCTTTCTTAGCAATTTATATATATAAATTATAAATATATAAGTGGGTGCTACTAAATATTGAAAGAATGAGTGAATGAAAACATGAATATAGGTAATAATGCAAGAAATATATGACATACGTCACATAAATGGAACAAAAATATCATGGCAGTTTGGTGGAAGGAGAGATTAGCTCTTGGGTGAAGTAATTAGGAATGACTTTACAGAAAGGTTGACATTTGAGCTGATTCTTTTTTTTTCTTTTTTTTAGGCCATGCCGTGCAGCATGCAGGATCTTAGCTTCCCAACCAGGGATCCCCTGCATTGGGAGTGCAGAGTCTTAACCACTGGACCACAGGGAAGTCCCATTGAGCCAATTCTTAAGAGATGAATAGTGTTTCAGTAGGCAGAAGTGAGGGTAGGGGAAAATCCTGATGGGGAGCAAACAGCATTAATGGAGGTATGCAGTGGAAAGAAAACTGCATACTTGGGAGCAGCCTACCTATGTGGATTCATCAAAACAGCATGGAAGTGAGACTGGGAGGAATAGTGAGATAAAGCTGGAATCATGCTGGGACTAGAGCTTGGAGACATCATTCAATAGGCAAGGCAGAACTGTGACTTGCAGCTGTCTCAGCAGGGAAGTCACATGATCAAGGAAGTGGTGGTATGTCAGAGGGATCCATTTAAGAGTTCCTAAAAATGTTCTGATATGAGGTAATAAGAACTGGAACTAGGATGGTGGTGTATGGATAAAAAGAGCTTTTTAAGAGACTATGAAAAAATAGGATGTCAGCAAAAATGGTGGAATAAGGAACTCTAAATATCAGCCTAGAACTCTAGAATCTAATCAAAAGTTTATAGCAACTAGGGGAGTGTTTAATCAAGAAAAAAATAGTTGAATGTCAAATAAGAGAGCTTTGTGCACTTTAACTTACCCTAGTACTATCCTCCACTCCCCAGTTTGGCAACAGCCTTGACAACAACAACCCATATTCTCAGTATAGGTGCCCACTCCTGGGCAGAGGAGAACAGACCTTATTGTGGTTGTGTCTGTTTTGACCTGTCCAGTGGCTTCCTGGAGGACTAGCTCTAAGGGCATGTGCCTAACTCAGAACTCTCTTAGGACTTAGGCAGCTACCTAGGGCACATTTGTCAAAAACATTTCAAGGCAAATGTGTTAGAGCTGCTATCTGGGGCAAAGAATGACATTTTGGGCAAACAATAAAAAAACTGAAAAGTGAGGAAGGAAAGACTGGGAAATGAGATACTTTGAGGAATAAAGGCTTTGAAAACCTCTGACATGTTCATGGGAATCTAGAAAGCACCACACATACATTTTCAGGGCTGAGTTCATGCTCAGAAGAAACCTGAGAAGGCCCCAAAACTGTTACCTCTGGTTGACAGTGAGGCTCTGCTCAAGCAGGCAGTGAAAGCTAAGACAAAGTTTTAAACTGCCTAGCTGAGTGATAAAGACAGGCTCCAACACACACACACACACACACACACACACACACACACACACACACACACACA